GTTGGAACCAGAACAACTGTTCGTATTCTGCGAATTATCTAAGAGATCATGATAGTTTTCTCTTCTTTGTTCGAGCTGTAGGCTGGCTATGGGCTGACAGGCATTTTTCGAAGCAGGAGGTCACCAGGTACATTCGCTTACAGTATCGAGACGTCTGAGTTCGGCCTGCAACCACAGCTGCGACTGGGCACTTATTTGCATTGTTAACATTATACTTGAGGTGATGTGCGTTTCCTGAGTCCAGTTCGAGATCTAGGCCAGCCAAGGGGCTGAGATGCGCAGCAATCGACAGGGAATGCTACGACGCATCAGTCTACAGTCTAGACGCCTGAGATCGGTCTGCTACCAGAGCTGGAACCAAATAGCAAGTTGCATTCTTTCATTTTTATAGACGGTGTTGGATTTCTGTATTTAATTTAGGCAATCTAGGGAGTTGGGAAGCACACCCCTCAACAGGAAATCGCCAGACAGTCGCCTATAGTACGTTCTTCTCCTGCTCCTCCTCCTTCTTCTTCGCCTTCTCCTTCTTTTCTCCTCCTCCTCCCACTTTCCCTTCTCCGTCTCCTCCTCCTCCTCCTTTTTTTTTTTTTTTCTCCTTTCCCCTCCTCCTCCTCCTCCTCCTCCTGCTCTTCCTTCTCCTCTTCCTTCTCCTCCTTCTTCTCCTTCTCTTCCTCCTCCATCAGCTCCTTTTCCTCCTTCTCCTTCTCCTCCTTCTCTTCTGTTCTTCTCTCCTCCTCCTCCTCCTCATCATCATCTCCCTTCTCCCCCTCCACCCTTCCTCCTGTTGCTCGTCATCCTCTTCTTCTTCCTTCTCCCCCTCCTTCTTCTCCTCTTGCTCCTTCTCCTCCTCTTCCTCCCCTTTCTCAGCCTCCTCCGCCTCCTTCTCCGCACTCTTTCTTCTCCTTCGCGTCCGCCTCCATGAAACCGCGCCCTCGCGCGCGCGGAATGCGAGATTGCCGCGCCCGCATGCCATTCATGTATATCACAAGGAAGCTCTACGAGTTCGCGGCGGTAGCCAAGGTTGACGGCTTACCGCCGCCTCCCAGTTACTTTTGCGAGTCATTTGTCTGCAGATGCTAAGCTTCTTTGGGTCATTGTGCATTCTATTTGCGACGCGGTGTTCTCAGGCTGTTTTTACCGGCCGCCTCGCTACAGCGAATCGCGTCTATTAAGAGCCTGGTTGTTCAGTGGTCCCGACTGAAAGCTAAGCGCGTGCATTCTGTGATAGTTTGGGATGTAAGCGGCCACCGTATTTCGTGTTTTCAGTTTTCTTTACACATTTCGTTGGCATTTTTTTTTTGTTTTGTTTTTTGTTTTGCGAGACTGGTTCGCGAAAGCGGCTTGACGCAGCGCGTCCAGTCACCCACGAGACGCCCTCACTTGGTAGATTTAGTTTTAGTGGTGCTCCCGATTCAACAATCGAAGTTTTCAGCGAGCTGTTTGATCATCGTCTTATCTTCCTTCGCATCCCTTGTTCTCTTTTTGTCTTTCGAGCATGTGAAACGAATTCATTGGCTCTATGATTCTGTCGATTGGGTTCGAATGAATCGTAATTTCCATTGCCGTCGATACGGCTCGTCCAGACGAAATCGTGGATAGAATTGTTGCGATTTTATTTGATTTTATGGCTGAGTGCATCCCTTTTTCTACGGGCTTTGTTTTTTCGTCTCACCCTTGGCTAGGTGACAGATGTTTAAGACTAAGTGCAAGGGACATTTGATGCTTCAAGCACGGCAGCCTCCCCTCAAGTTTACGCGGATTGCAGTGGCGGACTTGTCGTTGCACGCGCCGTTTTGGTAGGCCGGACCCGGCGCAAACTGAACAGTTTTCCAGCACGGTTCGAAGCAATGGTGGCGCCTGTGAGACCAGCTGACACATAGATTTTTGAAGCCTGTTTAAGTTGTTTTCCACGAAGCGACGGGTCGTGAGCGTCCACGTTTGTATGGACATGGGAATTGTTCGAAGTTGTCATCAGTTGTTTTTTTCCTCGCCCGTTTTTGAAGTTCCCCCTCCTCTACTCCCGCTCTCGTCATCTGCGCGCGTTGTTTGAAACAGATTTCAAGGACTATAGCGGAACCGTGCCCGATTTGATCCTACTCGAGTTTTGAAGGCATGTGCCCCCGCTCTGGCTACCCCGCTTGCAAAGCTAGCCCGGCGCACTGTTTACCGGTGCATGGCCAGCAGCACGGCGTTTACACCGGGTTTCACCTTTGCACAACATTCTGCCGCTGCTCGAACGCATCGACGCCTTTGGCAAGAACCAGTTTCCTTGCAGAAAGCAGAGGCGCGCCAGCTCCTCATGTAAGAGGCCATAGACAATTGCGTGTCCGACGCCGGTTGGCGCGTGTCTGCAATTTCGCGTTTGCGGAGATATCGCATTGACGCTGAGCTGCTGATTCTTTTAAAGCCCACGTTTCGAGTTTTCTCGAATGCAGAACGCCAGCCGTTGCCCGCGCTTCGTTCCGCTGTCTTAACTCGGTTTCTTCGCGCTGTTAACGTGCAGCTACTCGACGCTTAGCAGTAGTTTAATTTCGCGCCTTTATCTGTCATGAGGGACATCGCCATGCTCGGGGTGATTTCCCGTTTCTTCCGCCTCGCCTCCTCCCCTCCTTCCCCTCGCTCCCACCCCCGCCACTTTCGCCACCTGGACGAGCCTAGGTTTACGTCCTCTGATTATTCACTCCGTTCCGCTATCGGAGTGCCGCGTATCTACAATTTGATGCCAGACGTTATTGTAGATAATGTGCGAGACTTTAAATCACTTTTGTCCGCATTGCTGAAGGAGTTTTTTTCTCGCTGGGCCGATTGGCCTTCGCTGTTTTTCTCCTAGAATGCCTCTCGCGCACCACCCTTGAAAGCATTGCCGGCACTGGCGCGGCTGACCTCCTCCCTTCTTCCTGTTTTTCCCTCCCTTCTCCCCCTCTCTCCGTCCAACGCTCCCTCCCTCCCTCTCTTCTCTTGCTCTGTCGTCTGCATGTCGTGTCCCGCCGTCGTTGTCGTTCGTCCGTCCTTGTCGTGTGGCCCTCGTCGGGCCTCTTGGAGGTATGCCGGACGCTATTTTGAACCATCGTCGGCTATCTTGAGCCATCTTGGAGGCCATCATGGAGCATAGTTGTTCTTCTTTGAGCCATTTTGCGCTATTTTTGGCGTTCTGACCGATCGCGCCCCCCCAGACCAGACCCAGGGAGGGGGGGAGGTAAGCTTCCCCGAAGCGAGTGTGTCTTTGGTTATTTTGAACATGCACGAAACACATTCGTTAGACCACCTTCGCCGGAAGGGCTGGTGGGATTCTAAGCGCACGGCGCGTATGTTGGCCCAGTGTTGCAAGAACGCCACAACGCCCGCCACATCTCACCAGCTTTTTGGGCGTAGTTGTTTCAATGGGTCACCTTTCTCAAACTCGTTTTTCCCATTCGGGGATATATTCACTCTTCGATGCCCTCCAACCACGGGCCTTAAATGGGGGACGATAGCGTGACAAGTTATTCGTGCTGTTACTGGCACTGTTTCTTGTTTCGATGTGGCAACGTCTGCGTGCTGTTTCAGGTTCTTGGAAAGGAAGGTGTTGTAGACGTTATATCATCGGAGTCGGCCGTTCTCCTTGGGAGGGTTTGGCTGTTCCCTGGGAAATAACCCGCTCGGCCCCGTTCCTAAACAAATGTACCAGGCAAGTGCGAGCGGCCCATGGCAAACCACTTCGATTGTTCCCAAAGCAGAATGCAAATCATGACGGTGCCTCTATGGCAACCCACCGCAGCATGAGCTGCGTGAGCTCGGTGTGACGAGTTGCGTGAACTTTGTTCCTCATCGTCTTGCAGAGACTGCGCGAATCATATGGTTGCTGAGTCGTGGTAAGAAAAGAGCGGCTGATGTGTTCTCAGTCGGGACAGCCAGAGGGTCGCGCGATTCATTTTCTTTCAAATTTCGTTTCAACGGATTTATCGGACACCCGAATCCGAACCCTGAGCGAGACAGCTTATGGTTGTCTGTTACTCTTGTCCTCCTGTTGCCTCCAATATCGTTTGCCTCATTGCCTCGTCGTTGGCAGTAGTACGATTTGATGGGCTTCAGCGCATGCATTTCATTTAGACCGAAATGTCGATGATGTTGAAGTCATAGTATGCTAGCGACGCACGGCAGGCTCGTTTCGTGTCGACGGGGCGGCGACCCCGCCGCGGGCGTTAAAGGTTCAATGCCCACAGTGGTCGAGAAGCGATCGACATTGAACGAGCCACCGCTTCGCACAGCGCCGATCGCTCAAGGTTGACCGATCCGCGCGGTGTCGGGGACCGGTGCCGAACTCGCCATGGCACGAACCCGCCGTGCACTGCACCATGGCGGCCCAGGAGGCGCCCAAGAGGGTTTTCAGGACCAGCCCGTGGACGATCTCACGTCGGGTGTCTGCGGCCCAACGGACGCCTCCAGGGCCATGGGACAGGCCACGTAGCGACTTCCAGGAGCACCCTGGCCGATCCTGGGCCTGAACCCCACAGAGATCAGGGTGCAATTTTCGGGAGGTGAAATTCAGTCTGGGCGCTGGTACAGCCGTTGTCGAGAACCAGCCTATTTTGGGATACTCCCGCTTAATTCCACTCGATTGCTCAACCCCGCCTCGTCCGGCTTGGTAGCTGCATCCCGGGCTAACTCCTGGCCTAATCCGGCTTAATTCAGCTTCGTGGCCCCCTACTTGGGCTTAGTCGCTTTAAATCGTTCTGACGAAGACCTCCCAGAAATTGCCTCCTAACAAAGGGCATTGGCAGTCCCCAGTGAAGTCGAAGGGATTTGAGAACATTCCAGTCAGTGCCGCGCGGCACGGTGGCTGATCCACTTGGGTTGCATTCGGTTGTGTGACAGTCTAGCTGCATTGTCAAGTTTTGATTTGGAGAGCGAGCGTTCAGCGCCACACATGTATTTGGATGTTCTCGCTACTTCGTGAATTTCTCACTCGCACGTGTATAGTGTCGATTGATAGATCTGCGAGAAAGGCGGTGCAGACGACC